AAGGAAGGAAGGAAGGAAGGAAGGAAGGAAGGAAGGAAGGAAGGAAGGAAGGAAGGAAGGAAAAAAGAAAAAAAAAGAAAAGAAAGAGGAATGCCTTTTATTTTAAAACATCTGTTTTGAAGTCTAAGCATTTCATAAAAGTGGCCTCTGAAAACACACAGTCCACTTTGGCCCCACTGTTTGCCTGTCCTTAGCGTGAACTTTGTGTCAGAGGCAGATATAGCAAAAATAACCTTTGTTCTACAGAAAACAAGAGGCAAAGAGCACTCCGTGAGCAAACTCTGTGCCTCCCTCTGTGCTGGTCGGCTTTGGGCCCAACGCCAGGACAAATCTTAAGACTCTTTCAGCCCAGTGACCCTTTCCATAGACGCAGAGCCCTTTGCAGGCTCCCTGATACTCTGGACCTGAGAGACAGATGTTACCCACCCCTCAGGCAGTGATACCCATTCCTCCCAAGTCCCGCTGCTGGCCTGGTCAGTTTCCTGGCTACAGAGCAGCCTGCCAGAACAGAGCAGGCGTCCCAGAGACTTCTCAGACCCCATGGTGCTGTTACCATCACTAGCACCATGATTGCAGGGTGCCCTTGGGCTGAAAGTCTGGAAGCCAGGCAGACAGTGCCTCTTGATTGCACTGTGCTGCCAGTGTATGTGCGTGTGTGTGTTGTAAGAGACAGGCAGACAGACAGACACACACACACACATGCACACATGAGAGGAGGGAGGGGAAGGAGGCGCTGATTTCAGTAGCTCTGGGTTGGCTCACCCCTGGCAAGGCTGGTCTGAAAACAGACTGGAGACCTGCCTCTGTGCTCGCTGCTCTCCAGGTGAGGTGCACTGACCTTGTCTTTCTCTTCTGGTGGAGGAAGGCTCAGGACACAGGTGTGAGCATCCTAACAGCCCATCCTGCCACGAGGCTTAGGAGACTCAGGAGACTGGCCTTTATGTTCTGTTCGAAGCATTCCCCAGCTTCACATCTGCCCTCTGCTCTCTACCCAGCACTGCCACCTGAGCAAGGGGCAGGGCATCGAACACTTCTCTCTCTCTCTCTCTCTCTCTCTCTCTCCCAGGGCACCAGCGTCTGTCTGTGACCAGCCTGCTTGTCTGCCACGGCTTGCTCATGGTTGGTACCAGCCTGGGGGTTGTGGTGGCCCTGCCAGTCCCTCGGCTTCAGGGTATCCCCAAAGTGACAGGTAAGTGGACACAGCAGTGTGCCTTCCTCTCCTCAGAGCAGCTCAGCATCTTGCTGCCCTGTCATCTTTAGAGAACTGTAGGGTACTTAGTAGAGATGCTTGGCTGGCTCCATTTGTATGTTCTCTTTATACTTCTGCTTTTCTTGTTGTCGTTGTCAGTCCCGAGAGAACTGACCCTGAGCACCCACTAGTTCCCATCAGAACATAGGGTTTGCTCAGTGGAAATGGAACCCTTCTTCCTGGGTGTAGAGGAGGCTGGGTATGCCCCCCTCCTCCCCTGAGTTTTGCTTCTGGCTATCCCAGTTCACACTGGGCAGCAGGCTTGGAAAGCAGCCCAGCATCACGGGTCTTGGGGTTTCTACTTCAGGACGCTGCTCAGGCAAGCCCCGGCCAGGAACAAAGCATGCTGGGAAGACTTCAGTAGCATGGAAGAGACAGCCTGAATGTTCCAGTGAGAGGTGGGGAACTGTTTAGGAAGTGGTTGCTTTCGTTGAAGAGAACATGGCTGAGAGCTGTTGCACCCCCCTTCCCTTCCTCTTTCACCCCCCTTTCATCTTCAGTGCTGAGGGGTGAATCTGGGGCCTCACATGATAGACATTCACACCTGCCACCCAGCTACAGCCCCAGCACACACTCACTCATTTTAAAAGTTTCAGTTTTGTTAGGAGGTAAAGTTTTCATTGAGGAATGTTTTCTGCTTCAGTTATAATGGGATAGCATAGAGGCCACACGCCTGCCACCCAGCAGCGACGCTGGGGCATCGTTTGTCTGTCCGAGACCCCAGCCAGCCTTCTCAATTCACCTCTCCCTCTCCCTAGCCTTCCTTCAGTTTCGTTCTCCAAGTTGAACCTCACATGAGTTTGCACCCCTAAAACACAGCGGAGATCAATGACATAGGGAGGCAGCTCTCCTGTCAGTGGCCAGGAGGCCACCAGGTGTCCCTGACAGCAGGGCGCGCCACAGGGAGACAGAAGTTCTGATTTTAATAAACAACTATGGAATTGGGTTTTGGTTTTTGTTGTTGTTGTTGGTTTCTTGTTTGTGTGTTTTGTTTTGGTTTGGTTTGGTTTTTTGCATGCTCTGAAAACTTTGGCAATGGAAATTGCCAGGAGCTTCCGGTTGTGTAGACTTTGAGTTCCTAACACTGGACCACTTCAGTGTTTGACTTCTTAAGACTTAGAGAAATAAGATGCATTTGCACAGAGCAAGTGAGGGAGAATTTCATTCCTAAAGCTAAAAAACGTTTTATTATGTTATTTCAGGGGTGTGAGTATAAGAAAATATGATCTTAACTTTGGAGAATCACTTATATGTATGTATATATTCTGTCTGTCTGTCTGTCTGTCTGTCTGTCTGTCTCTTTCTCTCTATCTGTCTGTCTGTCTCTGTCTCTGTCTCTGTCTCTGTCTCTGTCTCTCTCTCTCTCTCTCTCTCTCTCTGTCTCTCTCTCTCTTTCTCTGTGTGTGTGTGTGTGTGTGTGTGTGTGTGTGTGGTGTGTTTATCTATGCCATATGAGTGTAGTACACAGAGTCCAGATGAGAGCATAAGTTTCCCTGCGTTTGTAGTTTCAGGCAGTTGTGAGCTGTCCAGTGTGGGCGTTGGGACCTGCACCCCTGTCCTTTTTGAGGACACTAAGCTTTCTCATCCGCAGAGCCGTCAGTTTAAGGCTTTAGGTGACTAAGTCCACAGGGATGTGATCTAAGGCGTTTCTGCTTTAATCGCCCTGTGTTGATGCCACTTACCAAGCTTCTGTCTGGGCAGGGGCCGTGGGATCAGATCCCGCACTTTGATACCCTATGCTGCATGCTTGTTATTAAAGATCTTTGTTGAATTGTTCCCCAGGGCGAGGCATGGTCTCCTACCATGCGCATAACGGGCCCGTTAAGTTCATCGTCACGGCCACAGCGTTTCAGAACAAGGACAGAGCCAGGGACAGACCACGTTCCGGTTCTGAGCTTCAGGACGAAGACCCCAAGGACTCGCTCTGCAATGAGGAGGGTACTTGTTGCCCGGGCCAGACTGACACCTACACAACCGTTTGGTTGGGAGACTCCCTAGGATTGACAGCTCAGAAGAATGACCTGTCTTCATCCTCGGGGTCACTGAGCCTGTCCCACGGTTCCAGCTCCCTAGAGCACAGATCAGTGGACAGCAGCCTGTGTGACCTGCTGAGGGACCCCAGTGCCTCCCCAAGGAGCAGGGCACAGAGCTCTAGGCGAGCCAGAGCCAGCTCAGCCCTGGTGGTGTGCGGGGGCCAGGGTCACCGGCGTGTACACAGGAAGGCCAGGCAGCCTTCTCAGGAGGACCTGGTTTCTTCAGTGATGGTGTGGCAGATCCCACTGCTAAGCATGTAGGTCAGAGGCTGCTGCCCGGCATCAAGCAGCAAGCAAGGACGACTCTCAGCCAGATGCAGGCCAACCGACGGAGGCCGCATCCATACCACTGGGACCGACTGGAAGCGGAGTTTGGAAAAGAAATAGGCTGTGGTCACGCGGCCTTCCTGCCTTTCTCCCATCGCACAGCTGGCCCAGATGTGCTGGGGAAGCAGATGAGCCTTCTGGCCTTGGGGTCACTGATCGACGATCCGGGATAACGCTCTAGTCTGCCCCATCATTCACCTGGGGCGCCAAGTGAGCTGGCTGCATGGGGTCCCATCTCAGAGAGCTGACGGGGAACGCAGCATCCAGTAGCATAGCGGTCACTAACAACTCTCAAAATCATTCTACTTGAGTCAGACTCACTACTGCTATTTATAATCCATATATATTTTTAAATTCCAGAATACAGACTGTAACAATTTAGAAAGCCAGGTAACACGCCCCAGTCCAGTCAGCTTGTTTTTTTAGGGGGAGGGGGCAGAGTGACCGAGGCTTTCCAAAATAGACTGTTATGTGCCCTTTAACAAATAGTGTTTTTATATTGCATTTTTTTCTATTAAAAATGGACAGTTAACATTTTAGTCAATGTACTATCTGTAACGTTTCACACATAATCTTTACTTTAAGCCAAAATGCTCAGTACCTATCAACATTGATCTCCAGCCACCGCGCCAAACCATACTTGCCTTCTCATACTAAATGACGTTGGTCTCTGCGTGGGACACATGCCGGCCCAGTCATGCAGGGATGGCGCTAGATGCGTCGCCGGTGTTCTGTGCACCTGCCATCGGAGAGCCATCCACAGTTGGACACTCATTCTGAGTGGTCCATGGTGCTGATCAGTCAGTCGCTGTGCCCACTGTCTGCCATCCCTATGCCATCCCCCCTCCCAAAGAACACACAGGGTCATGTGGGACACCTGAGAAGCAGCTGTGAATGTCAAGGAGCATGAATAACCCGTAGACTCCGTTTGCTCAGCCTGTATTTATACGTCAGTGTTTCACTTACTGGATAGATTTTTAAAAAAAGTTGTTGTTTTTTTAAACCTAATGCAGATATTCACCAGAAACAACTTCTCAGCACTTTACAAAGGACTACAATGCTAACTTTTAACTTAGCCAAATATTTTCTAAATTGCACATATACCCAAGCTTTCTTAAACTATTAGCTGCTATCTCATTTGATAAAATAAAAGACTTTCTATTTTAGAATACAGTATTACAAGTTGCCTTTTTTCCCCCCTGTAAAATATGAAAGGGAGGAAGCAGCCCCCTTCTCTCAGTCCTGGCATCGTAGTGGCCAGATGCAGAGACTTACAGGTGGGCTGGGACCCTCCAAAGCCTCCCGCCCTCGCCAGTTCTCACGATGTATTACCCCAGAAGGTCATATAATTTGCCTGTCCTACTGATAGTTTCCAAGACCCAAGGTGGACTCCTCGAGGACAGACAGAAGAGAGGCACAGAGCAAGCTCGTGGTCCTGGAAGGCGGGTGCCATGGCCGTTTCCACACTGCAGATAACAAGATTCTCACAGAGAAAGCTCCACCGCAGTGCTGGCCTGTGAGAAGCAAGCCAGACGATGAGCATCCAGAAGAGCTGAGCTGGGAGGGAGCTCAAAGGCTGGCAAACCCAACTGTGGCCTGTGTCCAGTGAGTCCTGGGTTTGAGAGGCAGGTATGTCGACACCCACCGAACAAAGCAGCACACTGAAGCCAACGCACTTGATGAGCAGCTGGCTTCGAAACCCTTTATGTGTCAGTCACAGTTCTCATAGGCCTGGGGATGGGATATAGACCCCTTCATGCTGGCCCCTTCCTCTGGGCCCTGCAGCCTCAGCTTAATACTTAAGGCCCCAGCCTGAGAGATGTGTGTCAGGTGTGAGTCTCCTCCGAGAGCAGCATCCAAGTGTCCCTGTTCAAACTCGGAATAACACTTAGCCCTCAAAGCTAGTTTCTTTCTGTCTTCCTGAAAAGGAGAGGAAATGCAAAACCTGTTTCCTCTCGGGAAAGCTGCAGCCCCTTCATGAAACGCTACACCCTGTGACCCGCCTACCAAGACCCCTCCAGATACAAAGGATGTGTAAAAATTGTAAGGTTTTGACAAAATTTGAGGACAGTCAAACCCACAGTCTAATAGCTGCCTGTCCCCTGCCTTCAGCACCTGTCGCCTGTTCTCCTTGGATCTGAGGTGTGAAGAGGTAAACAGAGGCCTCATCAGAGCAACATGAAACAGAACCCAGGAATTGGAGTGTGATGTTCGAACAGGTAGTCAGGTCGGTGCTGGGGCTCAGCACACAAGCAGTCCCCATAACCAGCCAGTGCTCAGCAAATGCCTGGTGATGTGGGCTGGGGTAACAGGGCTGTGTGTCCACAGATTTGCACAAGGAAGTCCCCGAGGGCACCCTCCCACAGAGGCACTGCCTCCCTCTGAGCACTGCAAAGGCACTCAGCAGTCAGCTCCTTGGAAGCATGAGCAAGCCAGTCTGGGTCTATGCTGGCACCAACCTGACAGCCCCAGCCACCCCAGGGAAAGCCAGATGCCACTGGGGAAGAGAATGACCTGTTTGCTGGCTTCTGGCCAAGGAGGGCTTCAGCAGTGGTGTTGGGTACACAGCAGTGGTACTAGAGATGTGTGTAGTCCTCAGGCCCAGCTTGACACACTCTGCCACTAAGGGTGGCCTTGT